CTTGACTTCTGTAGTAGTCAGGGAAATGCAAATGTATACTGGACACAGGCCAGATCCTGCCTGTGCTGGGCATGATGTGCACAAGCCTGGTGACCCATGGCTAGAGGGGGCGGGAAAGAACAGGATGGTGATGATAGGAAGCTCCTGACATTTGTCAGACCATCACTGAATGACAAAGTAGAAATGGCAGGGAAAGGAGGTAGGTAGGACCAGCCAAAGGCCCTCACCATGCTAGCCTTGGCTGAGTGAGCCCATGCTGCCTGCAGTTCTGCTGAGTGGTGATCTACAGCAGACACCTGGGAGGCTAACGTGCATGAGAGAAGTTACAGTGCAGTGGGGATGTTGAGACCCAAAAGTTACGCTGCTCCAGCAGGCAGCACACAGTGCCTCAGAGGACCCTCTCGGGTCAGCTGCTGTACCTGGCTACCAGGTGTTCGAAGTTTCTAGGCTTGGAAAGTTAAAAAGAGCATCTTCTAAAACAAAGCAGGTGAACTAGGGCTAGCCAGAAATTATACAGCCTGGGAAGCCATGACACTGAACTAACTGAGGCCAAGTTCCAACAATGTCCTGCTTATTGCTCTATGTGGCCCCACAGTGCAATCAAGTCTAGCCCATAGTAACTCACAGGGCCTATTGAAACCTCAAGGGGAAGCAAAAAGAAGAGGGCATCCTGAGCTAACGCTTCCTTCGGGGAAGATATGTCCAGTCTTGGTGAGGGCAAGGCCACTCACATTCTAGCAGGGCTGGGAAATGTGCTGATGCAGGCCCCATGGTCCTGATGCAGGGCCGCCACAGTACAGGAGAACGTGAAGGCTGAAGAGGGACCAGCGGCGAGGAGAACTGGAACTTCTTGAGGCAAGAAGTGACAGACAATGGAGCAAACTCCCAGCACACAAGAGGCAAGGCAGAGGTGAGAGGATCATTCCCACACAGACAAGCACACACCAACATGCCACATGCACCTCGGACTGAAGAGAAGAAAACAGGGCGAGTGGGTACAGCTGAGGGAGGCAGAGTCCTTCCACTCTGTGGGGCGCTGGGCCACGAGCAGAGGTGCAGCAGAGTGAGGGCTCACCCAGAGCATGTGCCAATCTGCAGACACTGTGGGAAGAGTGGGCAGGACTGAATCGGGGTGCAGAAGATGCTCTGAGGGGAGCTGAGGACGACTAGAGAGAGTGAAATGACGGAAGTGTGCACAGTAGGGGACCTTCTCAAGTATCACATGGCAGCCCGGCTGCAGGGAGGGAAAAGGTGGGCGGCCAAGCTTGTCCTGGGTTGGACACACAGAGAAATGGGATCCCTCCTGGGATCCAACTGAATAAACGGCAGGAAGCCCGGGAGTGGACGCTGTGACTAGGAGGCAGGGCTGCACAGCAGCAGGACTTGGCGGGCACGAGGCTGACCACACCATGACAATGACCGCCCCGGGGCAAGACAGTGCCTGTGACAAAAGCAGCGTGGGCCACAGAGCAGCCCACTGTTGGAGCAGAGAGCACAGCAAATCCTGGAGCTGAGGAAGGCAGGGGACCTTGCCATCAGATTGCTGGGGGAAGCTCCAAGAGCTGAAGATGCAAACGGGGACGGAGAGCCCAAAGCCAGTATTCAGTGATGGAAGGGAGGTGCCTCAATGGTCAGAAGAGGACAAGATGAAAATGGGTGGATGGAGGAGTAACTGGCTGCTTAAACTCTGAAGAAGGCTTTGCATAAGAGTAGATGAGAAATGGCAGCTAGGAGAAAGCTGCCCCCCACCTCTGAGATCAAGGTACCAACTGCTAAAAACGAGTAAGCTTTGATTGCAGAATGGTAATGAAAGCAGAAGCCCCAGGAGAGTTACAGGCAAGGAGGAGAGGCCAAGAAGAAGAGAGGCTTATTTATAGCACAGGAAAGGTCCTGTTCCCGAGGGCTCACGGCTGCGAGTCAGCAAGGAAGGCGCCTGCCAGGGGAGAGCACACCCCCTACAGAGGAAGAGGGAGGCAGCCAGCCAGCCTTATCGGGAGGCACCCAGCCTCTCATGAGGGGAAGACGCCTCAGGCTGGCGCAAGTTAAGATTCTAAGTGGCCAACAGTCTGTATGGAAACTGGGAAGGCTGCTGAGAAAGGATGAAATGGCTCTGCAGGCGATTCCCTACCCAGGGCAACTGACATGACTCACTAGGACCAAAACGCACAGACTCCACAGATGAACCAGAGAGGCTGGCAGAGCCCTAGCCCTCACACAAAGCCTTGCCTTGAAGCTAGAGGAGGGGTCTAGCTGGCCATAAACACCGACCTTGCACAGACCACAGAAGCAAAGGTGAGGATGGATTAACCTCCAAGCAAAGAATTCCAATGCATTACTAAGAAAACCACACACAACAGGAAATGGACAAAGAGCAGGAAAAGGTAACTCACAGGGACGGCCTAGGGGTACAAACATGTGAAAGGTTTCATCCTTGCTGGAAGGAAGGGAGTGGATGGACAGACACACAGATCACATAATGTCCTTCCTAGGACTGTGATAATGAAGACTGACAAGGACACAGGAAACACAGCACACTGGCATGTGCAGGTGAAGTGTGGATGGGCAATACCTTACAAATGCCATGTCCTGCTTCCCAAATGACTCTGGAGTATTTACACAGGTTAGCAAGGAGGGATTTGCCAAGAATGTTCACTACAGCATTATACTCGCAGAGAACCTACAAACAGCCACCTGAAAAGAACCCAAATGCCCATCACTCCGGGAAAGGATAACCCAAATGTTGTATCTACTTTTATATAAGATATCTAAATTAACCAGATCCACAGACAATTGGTACAACCTTACCCCAACAGAAACTATACACATGTGTTGTACTGTAGCATGTATATTACTCCTGTACACAGATGAATTAGCTCAAAACACTCAAACAGACCGGAGTCTGGTCCACACAGGATGGCATAAGCATACCCTGTTTGTTTTTATGGCATGCAGCTACAGATCTTGAACAGAATACTGTACAGGAAGCAGGGAACTGAGGTTTCTGAAAAGTAAAAGTAGCCAGCAAACTCGGAAGGGAAGCAAGATTGGAAGAATGCCAACCAGCAGCTGCCTCTGGCCTCGATGCAGGAGCCCCAATCCAGCAGCTGTACTGCCCATCACAGAGCGCACTGGAAGGTCCAGATCCAGGCCTGAGGTCAGACAGAAGGGTCTGCTGGCAGCACTGTGATGGCAGTGGGGCCACAGGCAGCTCAGCTGAGGGGATCTGAGGGCCTCTGAAGTCCCTTGCTAGATGGACTATGGGCACAGTTACAGTTGCAGCGGCAGCAGCAGTGGTGGCTGCAGCAGCAGCACAAGGGACACCACACCCTGGCATTCTGGGTGGCTGTTGGAAAGGGGAGCCCCGAGGAGCTACAGAGCATCACGGCGCTGTGGAGAGTTAGGGGCTCTGGAAGTGGCCCCACAGAGCTATAAACTCCCTGCACTTCCTGCAGTGCATGTGGATTTCATCATAAGCAGCACCTCAAGCACTCAGAACTAGAGGAGAGGCGCACCCACTTCCCATGCAGGCCCGGGGGGGCGGGGGGCACACAAGAGAGACATGGGCAGACCCAAGGAGCTGGAAATGTCCTGGGTTTTGTTTTGGTGCTGTGACTTGGACAAAGGATGAGATTTACACTGAAAGGCTTTCACTAGAACTCATGACCCAAACCCAACATGGCTGATTACATTTTCTAACAGATTTAAACAAGACCGAGTCTTATAGTATCCCAAATGTCCAGGGTGAACCCCAAATTACTTAGTATGCAAATAAATAGGAAAATTTCAACTCACATGGGAAAAGACAAGAAACATGAAGGCCTGCACAATACGAATGCTGGAGGTATCTCGCACAGATTTTTAAAGAAGCTATTGAAAAACAAAACAACAGCGTTCCAACAAGTAAAGGCCCATATTTGGAATGAATGGTATGACAGGCAGAACCCTAAGACAGCCCCCAAGATTTCCTATCCTGGAACTGGGGATGTCACTCAGTGATAGAGCACTTGCCTAGCATGTGTGAGGCCCTGAGTTCAATGCCCAGAACTGAAAAAAAAAAAAAAAATCAAAAAATTGCCTAATCCCAGAACTATAAATATACCATATCCTTATCATGTTAAATTACCTGGCTTGGGGGATTCTGCAGGTGTAATTAAAGTTACTAATCAGCAGACTGATTACAAGGGTTATTACAAGGGTTTATCCAGGTTTGCCTAATCTAAATACATAGCCCATAAAAAGCAGTGTCACCTAGGAGAGGAAACAGAGGAGAACGTTGGAGAGACTACAAGTGTAAGCACTCGTGAGCCACCGACCTGAGGATGCAGTCCCCACGAGAAGGGATGCAGCCAGCCTGCATGGGAGTTAGTGCCTGAAAGCACCTGGAAACAGATTCTTCCCAGGAGCCTCTAGAAAGAGCACAGGGGTTACCACCTTGATTTGGGGCTTGGGAACCCCCAAGCCGAGAACCCAATCAAGTTCCAAAGACTTGCAACCTACACAACTGTGCTTTATCCACTTGTTTATCATAACTGGTTACACAATACAAATAAATACAGTAAACCCCTGACTTATGGACGGCTTCTGTTCCAGAAGTGTTCCTAAGTTGGATTCATTCATAAGCCAACAAAGTGAGTCATATACAGGACACCTGTGAAAGTTTGCAAATGGAATGTTCGTAAGTCAGGGACTCACTGTGCAGATTTGGGTACCGGGAAGTGGGGCACTGCTACAACAAATACCTATCGAAGTTCATTTTGGGAACATTAATACAATCCTGAAGTGTTATATGACAGTATTTGGGACTCATCGATTTCTCTAGAGTGAGAACATTCCTTTTCTTATTTTTCTAAAATGCAACCTAAGAGACAGCATACCCTAAAACTCTCTAAGCAATTTATTTTTTCTGCCTTTTAGAACTGTTGCTGAATCAACTGTTTACTTGAAGCCCATTCCAAGTAAGATATGCACACTGACAGAAGTGTTAGCTGGTATCCACCTACACTTTGAGTTTGGTGCACTGTCCTGGCTTCAAGTCCCCCAGCAGCTGCAACATGGTGTCCAAGAGCACCCGACTGGAATTAACCAGGAACTCACGGCCACAAGCTATGGCAGCAACATCTGCAACAACAGAAATGAAACACAGTGTCAGGATCACAGGTGCTTTGGAATCTGGAAAATTCTGTCTAGGACAGAGCACTTGTTGTTGTTCTCCTAACAGACCTAAGGAAAACAGATGACGAGGCACTGACAGTGGTGCCACCCCAGCACGAGGACTGGACTACCCCAAGAGTTACTAATGGAGGTGCAGGGTCTGCTTGAGGAGCAAGTGCCTTTGCCAAATACAGAGCAGGGGCCCTCCCTGCCTGCAATGTCACGCAGAGCACCCGACCAGAAGCTGACGGGTCACAGGGAAGGTCGGGGAAAGCGTGGCCTTAGCCAGCACTGAGCACGCCAAAATGCACTTTCAGTCCTGCAGGTATCTGCTGATGACTTTTAACTATAACATGAAACTGAAATCATAGGTCATCAGAGAGAAAAGTATGAAAATTGATTCTGAAACAACCTTTTCCTAAATATTCTGTCCTACTGTGATCAGCAAGCACAGGTCTCCCTACACAGGGTCTGCAAACCAGCCTGGAAACCACCGCGAGCCATTATGCTCAGCCACAGCTCAGCCAGGTCGTGTCGGCATTCCCTAAAACCTGTCTGTGTACCTCAGTGACCCAAGGACACAGATGTGCCTGTTTGTAAGAGTTCTCCTCAGTCAGGATTATCAACAAAGTGATCCAAAATGACTACAAACCCTGCGTCAAATAAGCAAGCCAACAGAGGAGTGCAGCAGGGCAGCAGCATCTCTGTCTTTTCCCTGACTTTAATGGAAACACTTCTAGGAATCCACAGTTCAGTATGATATATGATCATACGATGTCTTTCTGGTAGACATCGTTTACCAGGTTAAGGAAGTTTTCTTCTATTTGTAGTCTGCCAAGAATTATCAAAAATGGAGGGGGAGTCAGGCATGGAAGTACATACCTATAATCCCAGCACTCAGGTAGCTGAGACCGAGGATTACAAGTTTGTAGCCAGCCTACACAACATAGCTAATTCACGGTCAGCCTCAACCATATAGTGAGACCCTGTCTCAAAAAATAGAAAGAACAGAAAGTGAATGTTACAGTTACTTGTTCTGCCTGTAATTAACTGTGATCTGACTGCAGAATATAAATTTGCACTAGTGCTACCAGACTGATTTTATAAAATCAGACTCTTCACATTCCTATTTAGTTTATTTACCTAGGCTGAGAAGGACCAGGTGGGGTACATGAAAGTCTCCTAAACCTATCACATTTCCCCCCATATCTACTTGTTTTTCCATAATTTTGTCTCATAACTGATGCTGTGTCACCTGATATATAATTTCATGATAGCTGAAGCCCCACACATTGAAGAGCAGCAGCAAATGTCCTGCTAAACCCTGATCAAACTGCAGACTCAAGAGCAAAATAAACATTATTGTTGTATTTTGGGGTGGTTTGTGTTATGGTATGTGTCTAGATGGCTCCCTAAAGCCTTATGCAGTCCTAGGGTATTTTTTGGAGGGACATGAACAGAACGTGTGATTGATTCATAGTATGATGCTGGGATTAAGGGTGTAAATGCTACACCCACCCTAGGGTGGGGATCCTGCATACAATACAGGGACAGAAAGAGTCTTGTCTCTCCTGCTACTTTTGCTGTCTTCCGCTACCATGAACTGCTGCCCCTCTGCCATGTGCTACCCTGGTTTGGAGCCAGCCAATTATGGACTGAAACTGCTACAAAATGCGAGCTAAACAAACCTTTCCCTCTTTAACTTTGAATATCGTGTACTTTGTCTCAGCAATGAGAAAAGTAACTAAGACAGTTTGTTATCCAGAAATAGATAACATGAACACTATTACTACATCACTAAAGCAAAAATAGCAAAATATTATATACTAGGTACTATGTACTTTATACTATACGTTATATATTATACCAGGCAACAACTCCCAACACAACATTTATTGGCAAATCAAGCCCTATGTTATATATCCCAGTACTGTAACAGCAAATACTAATCCTGCGTTTTACTGAATCCAACAACTGTGGACAAACTCCTACAGACAGTGCCAATATTTGTCAATCTCTCAGAATTTATTCACATTTATTTTAATCACAGCTAGCATTTTAATTACTGGTATTTAGTCTGTCTGAGATCCTTATGAGTCATTCAAGAGCCTACAGAATGGATTTTGTTGCCATTCACCAAAAGCAGAAAAAACACTGGTTTAATTTTCTGTTCAAATGGTTTTCTCCTAGGTTCATTCTCATTAAAATTGTTGTAGGTATTTCTAGAGGTTAGTATAGGAATTACACAGTTTAAGAAATAAATTTGGTATCAGTTACATATGCTGAGAAAGGCATGTAAATTGATATGTAGCATGTCTGAAACTTTTGCTTTAGGTCACAATAATTTTTCAGTGGTAAAAATAATAATGGAGTACTGGCATAATGATATACATATGACCAATAGGAAGGATTGAAGGTTTAGAAATAAACTCATATTTATGGTCAATTAATTTTTAACAAAGGTGTCAAGACACTTCAAAAGGGAAAAGATAAAAAAGAATGATCTTTTCAACAAATGGTGCTAAGAAAAAAAAAAGCAATTAGATATCAAAGTAAGTGCAAACACAAAAAAAAACGGTGCTAAGAGAACTGGTAATGTGTATGCAAAAGTTGCACCCTTACCTTATTTCACACACAAAACTTTATACCTGTCTTGGTTACTTTTCTCTCGTTGCTGGGACAAAATACCTGATGCCCAAAATTAAGGAAGGAAAGGTTTATTTCGCTTACAGTTTGTGGAGGTTTTAATCCATACTTGGCAGGTTACAAGGCAGAGTGGCACATGGGAGAGGGCTACAGCTCATGGCGGCAGAACACAGCAAAAGCAACAAGCACTCCAGGGAGGAATGGCGGCAAGCAGCCTCTTCCTCTCCCTTACATATGCAAACTATCCACCCCAGGGCGGTGCAGCTCTCACACCCATAATCAATCAAACTCTAAAAGCCTGCCCCATGGCCGCATGAGGCTTTGGGGTGACACACAGACACAAACCATAACAATACCAAAGACCTATATATTAAGAGCTAAGATTATAAAATACAGGAGTAAATTTCTGTGACTTTGAATTAGATAATGGTTTCTTAATGACAGCAAAATCACAAGCAACCAAAGAAAACTAAATTGTACATGAACAAAATTTAAACTTTAGTGTTTCATTGGACACTACTGAGAAAATGAAGACAACTCACAGAATGAAATATTTGCAAAATATATATCCAGAAGTGTCTGGTATCTAGGATATGCAAAGAACTCTTATGACTCAATAATAAGGAGACAACTCAATTCAAAAACAGGCAACAGGCCTGAACAGACCTTTCTCCAAAAAATATACAAAAGAGGACCATATGTACATGCAATGTTCTCAACATAATAAGCTATCATGAGTCTATGAATAGAAACCACAACGAGATACCACTTTATGTCCGTCAGGATGGCTATGAACAGAAAGACTGACAGTGCTGGAAGGGGTGTAGAAAACCCAAAACCTCGTATATGCGTATACTACTGATGGGAGTGTAAACTGGTGCAGCCACTGTGGAAAACACAGTTCATTTCGTTAAGCTGCTGAAGTCCTGCTGTGTGAGCCATCAATTACACTTACAGCTACTAGTCATAGCCAAGAGAAGAACTTATGTCTATGCAAACACTTGTACAAGTACACAAGTGTCCATTGGTAGCAGCCAAAAAACTGCAAACAACCCACTGTCCACCAATTGATGAATGGGCAAAAAAATTTGGCCTATCCGTATGGTGGAGTAGTATTCCACCATGAAAAGGAAGAAAGCACTAACATGTGCCACAGCATGAATGAACCCTGAAAACATCATGCTAAGTGAAATGAGCAAAGGACCATACACTGCAGGATTCCATTTGCATCACACGTCTGGAACAGGCAAATCTAGAGAGCAGTAAGTTAGGTGTGTGTTTGTCAGGGGCTTGGGGGATTCCAGGATTCGGAGTGATAGCAAAGGTAAGTAACATTTCTTTTTGAGGTGATGAAATGTTTTATGTATTTATTTATTTTTTGTCTAAGACAGGGTCCCACTACGCAGTTCAGGCTGGTCTTGGGCTCACTTTGTAGCCCAGGCTGGCCTCAAACTTCTAATGATCCTCCTGCCTCAGCCTCCCAAGTGCTGGGATTACAGGCATGTGCCACCACGCCTTGCTCTGAAATGTTTAAAAATTGTGGTGATACAGAATTGTATGAAGACACTAAAAGCCACCAACTTATTAAGTTAAATTAGCAAAGTATATGATGTAAAGATTATACCTCAACAGCTGTTAAAGTGCAGAAATAACAACAGGGGTACAATTTAATTCTCATGGATAGCACACTACTGGGTCGCTACTGCTCATTCTGGATCTGTTTCCTATAACCCTCTTCTTCCTAGCGCTAACACTGCACCTTCTTTTTTTTTTTTTTGAGACAGGGTTTTACTATGCAGATCAGGCTGGCTTTGAACTCACTTTGTAGCCCAGGTTGGCCTTCAACTTGCAGCAATAACCCTCCTGCCTCAGCCTCTTCAGTGCTGGGATTACAGGTGTGCGCCACCACAGCTAGCTGTGCACCCTCTTTTTCTAAGGAAACATAAGCAAGTATGTAAGTTTCCTCTAATATTAATACTCAGACTCCATTTCATCTGTTTTTGTTTCTTTGCACTGGCCTTGGCTACCAGTGGCAGGATCTTATCAATTCATTTTTCTGGCTTTTGGGAGTAGGGGCAGGCCAAGGCTGTGGCACTGTTTATAGGAGCCCCAGAGAGCTGGAGGGAGTGCCCAGTCCTGCTGGAAACTGGCTCTTAGAATTCAATTTTCCCAGCTGGCATTGTGGTGCATCCTATAATCCCAACACTCTCAGGCTGAGGCAGAAAGAGTCTTAAGTTTGAGCTCAATCTGGCAACTTAGTGACTTAGTGAAACCCTGTCTCAAAGAAAAAAAAATAGAAAAAGTCTGAGGACATAGCTCAG